GATATCCCCAAGAAGGGGAACTTTGGACCCTGTCAATATGCTCTTAAGTCTTTTTTTTTAAGATTTTATTTGTTTATTCATGAGAAGCACAGAGAGAGAGGCAGAGACATAGAGAAGCAGGCTCCCTTTGGGGAGCCCAATGTGGGATCCAATCCTCTGACCTAGGATCACGCCCTGAACCGAAGGCAGATGCTCAACCGCTGAGCCACCCAGGGGTCCCCGACATGTTAATTCTTAAAATGTTCAGGGGTGTCTGCCTTTGGCTCAGGTCATGATCCTGGGGTCCTGGAATCTATCCCCTCCCTGCTCAGCGGGGAGTCTGCTTCTCCCCCCCAACCCACCATCTGCTGCTCCCTGTTTGTATGCTCTTTCTCTCTCTGTCAAATTCTTAAAAAAACAAAACAAAACAAAACAAAACAAAAACACCAACTTAAAAGTTCAGATCATAGCTACAGTGACAGAAACCGTAGCTATATCCAGAGATCTGACTCAGCCCCAGCTCCTTATCCTTACAACTCTTGCCTGGTGCCAGTCGTCTTCCCCACTCTGCCAGGCCACAAAACCTCCTAGCTGTGTTGGTGATTCTATTGTCACCTTTTCAGTCATAGGGGCATAGCGGGCCTGAGGATGATGGTCTCAGAGCCAACTCTGTGGATATTAATCCTAGAGAAAACCTTCTCAAAGGATTAGCACCTTAGCCAAGACTGGAGCATTTTCTAGTTGGCTCTTCTCCAGTTAGTGAGAAGAATGAAAGAATGGGGTGCTTAGGTCCTCTACCTTCCCCTCTTGCCCACAGGACTAGAGCATACAGCATCCCAGCTGCATGCTGGCAAAGGGCCAGGGGCTGGAGATCTTCTTATCCCTCCATTCTGTTAGCGAAGGGGGCCCTGCCTTGGCTGGGGCTGACTGCCATGCTAGCTCTGGCCCCAGACTCCATGGTGGTTCCACCACGGACCAGCAGACTCTTCAGGTTGGCCCCAGGGATAACAGATGGGCTCTCTCCCCTCATGAACTTCACCCGAAGCACTACTCCCTGAAGCCAAAGGAATGACGGTCTTCACTTTCTCAAACAGCGTGAGAAAGCGTTTTCTAGGTGCCGGGCTCTGTGTGAAGCACACTTCCACAGTTTTATTTAATCTTCACATTTACCCTAGGAGGTAGAACTGGCTTACCCCCACTTTATAAGGAAACTGAAGCTCCAGATATAATTTGCCCAATGCCTCAAGAGCTAACCAGGACTCTACCTTTCCCACCCTGGCATGAAACCATAACTAGTTTACGTGAGGCCAGGAGCCTGTGGGATCATGTCTAGGAGAGAAGCCTCAAGATAGTTTAGATGACACAAGACAACTAAGGTCAGTTAATTTGGCTTATACCCCTTTGACGGTCAGCAAAAGGTCAAAACTGTTGTCTTTCCACCAGCTTCCCTCACTGAACCAGTAACAGAAGGCTCTTCCAGGCCAGCTGACTGGGACACTGGAAGACCCCGTAGGAGGGAATGTGCAGATGGTTGTGAATTAGGTACAGTGGCCTCAGTAGAAGGTGCCAGGCAGAGACTGAACTCACCAGGTAGCCCCAAATCTGTTTGAAGGGGAGTAGCCTGCCAGGCAGCTGGCGGGAGGGTCATTTAGGAGCATCTAAATCAAACGGTACCAGCCCAACTGTCCACACCTCAAAGGAACAGAACTAGCATCCTGGGATAGAAACGTACTTTCAACTTTGGTTCTTCATCTAATAGCCTGAAGTGTCCACCAACACTGTGCTAGACTTTGTGGGACCCTAAAACACACTCTTGCCCTTAATGAAAACAATTAGCAGGTTAGGCACAAAGATAAAGCAACAATAAGAACTTTGGTGAACTGGAGAATTCTGCTCCAGTGGTTGTAGCCTCTCAGTAAGGAAGAAAAATATACTGATTTTCCAAGAAAAACCCCAAATCAGATCATTGAACTTTTCCATTTTTAAAAACAAAATGCAGGCCAACATCTGTGTCCACTAGTTTGCAACCTCTGCTACCCACTGATCATGCTCAATTTTTCCTGTTATGCCTTTAGCACCTAACAAATCTTGGCAGAAAGGAAACAGTCGATATGAGGCTGGCACAGACTGGGTGAAGCTTATCCAGGGGCAATGGGTCTGAATTTCCATCATAGGTAGAACAGCTGATTCAAGTGGGGATGATTTTTAGCCTTGGAAATGACTATTGAGAGGTGTAACAGTTGTTGCAAATAAGAAAATCCTTATAAAGCTAGAGCACATGGTTTGGCTAACAGTAAGGGCAGGGAGGGAGAAGGCTGCTTTTACATAAAATATACATTTGACAACTGACCTTGGTCCCCACCACAGTTTACGGCTCTGCCCACCCTTACCCTACTTCTTTACAAATGTCCAACCTAGGGTAGCCCATGTGGCTCAGCAGTTTAGTGCCGCCTTCAGCCCAGGGTGTGATCCTGAAGACCTGGATGGAGTCCCACATCCGGCTCCCTGCATGGAGCCTGCTTCTCCCTCTGCCTGTGTCTCTGCCTCTCTCTTGTGCTGTGTCTCTCATGAATAAATACATAAAATATTTTTTTAAAAAATTTTACAAATATCCAACCTATTACCTAAGAATATCATCCAAGTCGGTGTTTTTTCCAAGCATTAAAATGAAAGTTATGTAATAAAAGTGCTTGGTACATTTGACAGAGTTCAAGAAACATTCACTATTATGAAGGTTTGGGTGTTTTCTATAAAGAACCAAAATAAACATTTACTGGCAGTGTAGTTACAGGGAGTCTGATTTTGTCTTAATAAATAATACCTGAGGGGTGTCTGGGTGGATCAGTCTGTAAAATGTCCAACTTTTTTTTTTTTAAAGATTTAATTATTCATGAGACACAGAACAAGAGGCAGAGACATAGGCAGAGGGAGAAGCAGGGTCCATGCAGGGAGCCTGATGCAGGACCCAATCCTGGGACTTCAGGATCATGCCCTGGGCTGAAGGCAGGCGCCAAACCGCTGAGCAACCCAGGGATCACCTAAATGTCCAACTCTTGACTTCAGTTCAGGTCAGGATCTCAGGGTCATGAGATTAAGCCCCACATTGGGCTCTGTGCTCAGTGTGGGTGTGCCTGAGATTCTCTCTCATTCTGCCTCTACCCCTTCCCCTGCCCACTCTCTCAAAATAAAATCTTTTTTTTAAATAAATAAAATCTTAAAAAAAATCAAATACTTCAATAACAATCCCACCTGGAATGAGATTGTGTGAATGTTCAAATAGAACAGCAAGGACCACTCATTAGGGGACATCAGAGAGGGAAGGATTAGAACTTTATGATCTCTGCTCTTAGAACCCTAAGACTAAAAAAAAAAAAAAAAAAAAAAAAGAACCCTAAGACTACATGCACAACATGAAAACTATATTCTAGTGTATTTTTAAAAAGGATGTGATCTCCATGTATATGGAAAGATACACCCAACAGAATAACTGGAAAAAAGGGAAATTATAGAACTATACAATGGGAACCTGAGTTTGTTTTTATTTATTATTTATTTTTAAAGATTTTATTTGTTTATTCATAGAGACACAGAGAGAGAGAGAGAGAGAGAGAGAGAGAGAGAAAGAGAGAGGCAGAGACACAGGCAAAAGGAGAAGCAGGCACCATGTAGAGAGCCTGATGTGGGACTCAATCCAGGGTCTCCAGGATCACGCCCTGGGCTGCAGGCGGCGCTAAACTGCTGCGCCACCCTGGCTGCCTGGAACCTGAGTTTTAAAAAGGAGGATATATAGGTTTATGTGCTTACAACACTTCTGGATAGGTGTCTAAGAAACTTCATTAGACAACCTTAGAGACTGGGTCAGGGAGTAAATGTTTACCTTCTACTGCAAAACGCCTACTTCTCATTTTATAACCATGTTCCATTTTGAGTGTTTTCCCCTTACCAGGGACACGATTACCCTTATAAAAAGGACCAAATAGGGGCAGTGCCTGGGTGAATGAGTCAGTTAAGTGTCTGACTTCGGCTCCGGTCATGATCTCGATCCTGGGATTAAGCAGAGTATTGGGGGGGGGGGGGGTGTCCTTGCTCAGCAGGCAGTCTGCTCCCTGCCCCCTAGCTTGTTCTCTCTCTCTCAAATAAAACCTTAAAAACAAACAAAAACAAAAAATTTGATTTGGTTAAAGCCTTCTGGTCTGAGCTTTACTTTAAAAACAGTTCCCAGGGGATCCCTGGGTGGCTCAGTGGTTTAGCACCTGCCTTCAGGCCAGGGCATTATCCTGGGGTCCCAGGATGGAGTCCCACATCGGGTTCCCTGCATGGAGCCTACTTCTCCCTCTGCCTATGTCTCTGCCTCTCTCTCTCTCTGTGTCTCTCTCATGAATAAATAAAATCTTAAATAAATAAATAAATAAATAAAAACAGTTCCAAGGATAATGCTTTACAGATCTCTTTTACATAGGAACTTCAATAAGAGTACTGGGCTCCCCAGCCTGCTCTCCCATTACCAAATGAACTTAACTTTGGAGGTTGCTTCAGGTCAGCTCTCTCTGTCCCTCATTTCCTGAGTCTTAATTTTTTCCCATATGCACTCACACTGTGATTGGTATCATCCAGTTTTTAGTTAGTGTCCCAACAATGACTCCCTAATTTCTATCTCGGGCTTAGATAGGGCTTATCCCTCCTGAACTTTAGATCCATGCTTTGCAACTGCCTACTCAACAGTCCCATGTGGATGTAAAGTACAGATCCACAATTTAACACATCTGAAAGTGAACTCACCTTCCCCAATAAACCTGTTCCACCTACAGCCCTCCAAATCTCAATTGATGACCGACCCTTCCTGGCTTCTAGTCACCTAGGTCCATAAGCTCACAGTAAGAGGAGGAATGAAAAGCAGTCTGACTCATATGGTCAGTTATCTAAAAATGAAGTTGGCCCTGAGTATTGGGATCAAAGATATCATATAATCATTAAAATTTTTTCTGAAATATACTTAAAATTAATTCACTTTAAGTCTAGGATTTAGATTTTGGCATTTTAATTTCTTTTGAATATGTCACTTTGTGTAAGCTAGGAAGCAGAATCAAATTAAGGCAGTCTGGTCCACCTAGGGATCCAGGCTGAGTCTTGCAATCTTCAGCAGAATGACATCATAATGTAAGGTGCTAATAAGAGGTTTATAATCTCTAAGTAACAACCGTTTATCTACATTTTTTCCTTAGGAAACAGCCAAAGTCCAGTCCTTAAAGGCATGATATACAGAACATCTTGATCTACAAAGAACAGAATGATCCAAATTAAATGCTGGTCAACTTACTGGTGGACCAAATCAAAGCTGACCAAGGATTCCTGAACAGAGAAAATGTTTACCTTTTGGAAACTTGCTCTGAGATTTAAAAAAGTCCTGGCTATTAATGAGAAAGCAAGTAAAAAATATTACAGATGCACCCACACTGACATTTGATTTTGCCAAGGTCTTCCACTAGAATACAAAGTTAGAGGATGAGTGTAGGGGTAAGATACTTAGATGTTTTCAAAATAAATTACTAGTAATATGAAATTTGACATATTGAATTCTTCCATTTGCCACCAAAACAAACTGACAATGAGGACTAATTAAAAGAAATGCTGAACTCTAAAAAGGGTGGCAGCAGTAACACCTTCCGCTATATAATAACCTCCTGCTTTCCCACACCATTAACATTGCTATTCTTCCAAGATAGATATTTGTGTGGAAAAAGTTGTCAGCTTTTGCCAGGGCCAGTTAATTTGTAATTGTATGCTCGGTTGACATCCTGAGGGTGGACCTTTAAATCTGGCCACATTCTTTTGTTTAACATTTGCAAACTACAGAATTCCTTAGCCAGTTTCTGTTCTCAGTCCCATCTGTGTTTATTCTTCTCGGGGTTGAGGGTGGGCGCTAGTCATCAAAATCTGGAATGTCATCGTAGGAGTAACCCCGGTAGCCTTTGGAAGCATAGTAGGCAATGCGCAGGTGGTAAAATCCTGGCAGGAACACCAGAATGCCAATGATCAGGACAGGAACGGCTCGGTCTGCCCCCTGGTGGCAGAAGGAGGCAAACACATTAGTAAGGTACAAATTACAAGTTGTAAAATAAAACACAGCCATACATCAGGGTTTTACACTCTTTGGAGCATTTCCTTTGGGTAGTATGCTACCAAGGGAACAGGTTTACATCTCTTTTCCCCCTGATTATAAAATGCAGAAAAACTGTAAAGCACTAAAAATTAAAAAGTCAATTGTCCATCTTCACCCATATTTTGCTTATTTCCTTCCGTTTCGCCATTGTAGTTTACAGTTGTGAACACACCATACCCTGTGCCTTTAGTCTCTTATTACAAAACAAGCAATTGCCAAAATACTATGAAAAGTTCTGCACTGGGGGTGGGAGATAGGCAAAGGATGAAGACAGACAAAAGGTACAAACCTCCAGTTACAAAATAAGGAAGTTCTGGAGAAGCAATGTATAGCATGGGGACTATAGCTAATAATACTGTATTGTATTAGCAAGTTGCTGGGAGTGTATATCTTAAAAGTTCTCACCAGAGGGAAAAAACAATCTAACTATGTAGTGCTAGATGTTAACTGGACTTATTCTGGTGATCATTTCCCAATACATACATATATTGAATCATGTTATACAATTGAAATTAACATGTCATAGGTCAATTATACCCCCCTCCCTGTTAGATACTTTGGTTGTCTCTCACTTTTTGTAACTGTACAGAATACCACAATAAACGTCACTGTTTTTCCTGGCCTTTCAGATTATTTCTTTAGTGTATATTCCCATGAGCACAATTCACAGGTCAAAGGGGAAGAAATGGTGTTTAATGTTTTTATCAGTAGGGCTTCAGTTATTTGGGGCGTTCCAGGAGGGCAGGGACTTTGTTCATCCCTATATCCCCAGCTGTGCCCAACATATAAATGTATTAAATAAATGAATGACTTTTATAAAATTGCTCCGTCTTTAGGAAGAATTTTAGATGTTTATATAGTTAAACTTATCCTCTTTTGTGATTTTTCCCATTTTTTAAAAATGATTTTATTTATTTATTTGACAGAGAGAGTATAAACAGGGGAAGTGGCAGAGGGAGAGGGAGAAGCAGACTCCCCGCTGAGCAGGGAGCCCAATAGAGGGCTTGATCCCAGGGCCCTGGGACCATGACCTAAGCCAAAGGCAGACGCTTAACCAACTGAGCCACCCAGGCTCCCCTTTATCACAGGTTTTAAGCTTTTCCTCATCTAAAGATTTAAATCCAATCTAAAAATCTCCTTTTAACAGGGCTAGTTATACAGCGTACATTGTTAGGTTATCTTACGCTGTTTTTTTTTTTTTAAAGATTTATTTATTCATGAGACACAGAGACACAGAGATACAGGCAGAGGGAGAAAGAAGCAAGCTCCTCGAGGGGAGCCTGAAGTGGGACCTGATCCCAGGTCTCCGGGACCACACCCTGAGCTGAAGGCAGATGTTCAACCACTGAGCCGAGCCACCCAGGCATCCTTATTGTTAGGTTATCTAACTCAATATAATTTTGGCTGCTTCACTTACAAACAGAAATCAAAAGAAATTAAGTTCTAATTAACTCTACTCTTAAATTTACACTGGAAATTGTTTTCTAAAAGATACCTATTTCCTGATTCCATCACAGAAAAGGCCTAGAAACAATGAAAACCAAAGCAGGAGCACCACTAATGCCCAGTCTGTGATCTCTCTAAATCTACTTCCTATAAAGAAACTAGGGCTCTTTAGAGAAATGGCTGTTTGCAAGCTGGGAGACAGGAAATATATAGATGAGCCTGGGATAATTTGCTGTGCCAGAAAGCAAGAAAGTTATCAAAGGCTATGTGGGTCACATTTAAAAGACATAGGAGTAACACGAAGGGGTCCTACTGACCAAATATGGAACAATTTAGGTATTAAAAAGAATATGGGGGGCACCTGGGTGGTTCAGTCAGTTAAGCATGTGACTCTTCATCTCAGCTCAGGTCTTGATCTCAGGATTGTGAATATAAGCCCTGCTTTGGGTTCCACACTGGGCGTGGAACCTACTTAAAAAAAAAAAAAAAAAGAATATAGACTATGACTGAAACACAAATATGTGAAAGAAAAAATAGTTTACAATGATACCATTCTCTGACCCCTTTTAAGATTGCTAGATATATTTTTATAGAAGTTGTGAAACAGAAGTAAACATTTTTCCTATTTTCACTATACACATTATATTTTGGGGTAACCAGATGGTAGATTTGAGAAAGTGCTTTATAGTGGAATTTCAGCTAATGACTACAGAAAATGATTGAAATGCATTCATTAGTATAAACAGTGATGGGGTTTAGCGCCTGCCTTCGGCCCAGGGCGTTGTCCTGGAGTCCCCGGATCGAGTCCCACGTTGGGCTCCCTGCATGGAGCCCGCCCGCTTCTCCCTCTCCCTGTGTCTCTGCCTCTCTCTCTCTCTGTGTCTCTCATGAATAAATAAATAAAAAATCTTAAAAAAAACCAAACAAACAGTGATGGGGAAGTTTATAATAAATGAATTAAGCTGAAGACACTTAAACCCAGCAATCTATCTTAGTATCAACTAAAAAAACCCTGAATCTAAGCAAGTCCTAAATCTAAAAAAAAAAATCTGAAGAACAAGGTCAAAGATATCAATACAGCACCCCTAAACTTAAGTAAAAACTGTTATAGATGCATACTGAAGATGCACACTTAAGAATACCAGCAAAACAGAGGTACCTGGGTGGCTCAGATAGTTAATATCAGACTCTTCATTTCAGCTCGGGTCACAAGCTCAGGGTTGTGAGACTGGACTCCGCATGGAACCTGCTTAAGATTCTTTTTTTTTTTTTAAAAGAATTATTTATTTATTTATTTATTCATGAGAAACACGAGAGAGAGAGAGAGGGGCAGAGACACAGGCAGAGGGAGAAGCAGGCTCCATGCAAGGAGCCTGATGTGGAACTCGATCCAGGGTCTCCAGGATCACACCCTGGGCTGCAGGCAGCGCTAAACCACTGCACCACCGGGGCTGCCCAGGTTCTTTCTCTCTCCCTTTCCCTCTGTCCTCCATCCCACCACTCTCTCTCAAAAAAATAATAAAATAACGAACATCAGCAAAATGTAAATTTGGTATTTGGCTTCATACACAGAAAAAACAGTTGGAATACACAAAACAAAATGTTTATAGCTGTTGATGATGAATGGTAAGACACACAGGGGTTTAAAATATTATTTCATTTACTTCTGTTCTGTTTCAAATACCTGTAATAAAAAGTGAAAAAACTTTACAAAACCCAAAACTTATTAGTGATTTTTAAAATTAACATATTTATCCTTATTGAAAAAGTGGTCTTTTAGGGGATCCCTGGGTGGCGCAGCGGTTTGGCGCCTGCCTTTGGCCCAGGGTGCGATCCTGGAGACCCGGGATCGAATCCCACGTCGGGCTCCCGGTGCATGGAGCCTGCTTCTCTCTCTGCCTATGTCCCTGACACTCTCTCTCTCTCTGTGACTATCATAAATAAATAAAAATTAAAAAAAAAAAAAGTAGTCTTTTAGGGATGCCTGGATGGCTCAGTGGTTGAGCATCTGCTTTCGGCTCAGGGCGTGGTCCTGGGATGGAGTTTCAAATCAGGCTCCCAGAAGGGAGCCTGCTTCTCCCTCTGCCTATGTCTCTGCCTCTGTCTGTCTCTCATGAATAAATAAATAAAATCTTAAAAAAAAAAAAAGTAATGTTTTATAAACCACACAAAGTAAAATGGTATTTGCTGCATGTGGATCTCACCTCTACTCTCAATTTTTAGAATATAATTAAGAATCCTCTGGGATTGATACTGCATGCTTCAATTAAGGTTAACCAAAGCCACAGTCCTGAAGTTAGGTGTTCAAACACAGACTATACCAAGTAAGCATCTGGTGACCATATAATACTTTTAAATAGATAGGGACCAAAGGCAAATCAGATTACTTCTTAAAAGCCATATATAGCCATTTTATTACAACAGTGCTACTCTTCCCAATTTCTGTCATGTCCACAGTTTTTCAGGTCGTGGCTGTGTTCTCTGTGTAGAACAATATGACCATCATCCCCTGGCCTGGTGTGTGTTGAAGAACACACATGACTTAAGATCATCATTATTAGTTCAGATCAACATGGATGCTGTTTATTACTGTATGTATATAGCCTGAAAAAAGAACCACCAAATACCACTTCAGGTTTTGAAGATAACACTTTGAAGCTCAACAAGAATTCCAACCAAACCTAATGTAAGAAGGATCAGACTCATGAGTCACAAGTCCTGGCTTAGTCGGTGGCTCCAGACCTATACAAACCTCACTGCTTCTCCCCAAACCTGGAATAGTATGTCTGTGGCACTGCGAAATTACAGTAACACATTCTACTCCAGTTACAGACATTACCAATCAGGAATCCTCAATTTTAGGCTTGGCTTTGCTGTTTCAAACCATGACTGGGAAGGTTGCTCTACATCTTGGAGGGAAAATGTACCTACCTGTCCCCACCCACCTAGAAACTGTGGGACAAGCATGCTGTTACTCAAAAGAGGAAACGTATTTTGTACAAAATGTAACAAAATGTATTTTGTCATCTGAGAACAAAATCTAAAAGAAAACTCTTTTCTTCTTTCTGCTAGAGTGTACAGGAATCATACTAGACATGAATATAAAACAATAGAGCCCAGACTCACACTTTAAAGATCTCCTGGCACATTCCCACAAACCCTTCAGCTTACCCCTTTGCTGATATAGCCAGCCAGAAGGAGGGAGCCTATGATTATGAGAAAGGCACCAATCAAAAACAGCACTGTAGCAAGCGCAATGGCCTTATATGGGATCTTAGGAGGGCTCTTCTTAAACTGGAGGAGAAACAAACAAAAAAGGCAGAGCATTATGAAAATACCAGGACTCAGATACTTTAAAACAAGGACGATAGTAAGAACCAACCTAGATGCTTTGTGTGTCTTGAAGGAAGTCCTACTTACCCACGATAGCTCTGGGAGAGAAAGGAAAGGGACAAGCTGGAGGTGAAGCTCCAGTTATTGCTAACAGTCACCAGAGGAGTCCCAGCAGAATGTTACTCTTTCTACTTCTAATCTCATTCCATACCATTCATTGTACCATAAGAAAACATTTTTTTTTACAAAAATAAAAGATACTTTATGGTCATTCATTGATTAGACATGTGTTTATTAAGTGCCTGGCACATGGAAGGTTGTACTAATCTACAGTAATTCAAGAGTGAACATCATGCTCTGGAGAAGAAAATACGTGATTTTTGGCATTCAAAGTTAAGCCAACACATAGTCAAAGGTCTTAGAGATAGCTTTTTCTAAAGCATTAGTTGCCCACCCCCTGGATCAAGTAACCCGACTTGTTAATAAGTTTGATTCAAAGTTAAGATTCAGAGACAAGCTTTCTAAGGTTTGCCTCATTTCTGTATCTGACCTAACCGGCTGGAAGCTTCCCAGATGTACTTTCAAAAAAAAAAAAAAAAAAAAAAAAACAAAACCCAAACCTCTCTCCTTCAAACATGAGTCCAAAGAGCACAGAGTAATTGATTTGTTTATATTTAAAGGGACGGGTTCCTGCTTTTTCCTCCTTGGCCCTGGGTCCACCTAAACTATCCTAAGGGGAAGTGGGCAAAAGGAGATGCTACACCATTAAGAATTTTATAACTAAAAAAAAAAAAAAGAATTTTATAACTAATGATCAGGGTAGGATACAAACTTAACAAATATTCTGTTTTACTTACTGTTTGCCACAAAGAATACCTTTAATAAATTGGATCTCATGACATCAGGAAAGAAGGAAGATTCCCACAATTTGCTGGCTTTAGCAGTTAGTTTCTCCCTTAAAAGATGAACTGGCTTTGACTAAAGTGTAAACGAACCAATGACACAGTCCTTAAAAAAAAATTCTACTTAACAAAACACAATCTGAGTATTTTCCAGAAAAACCAAATAAAATTTGTAATTACTGGGCTTTGGCATTACAACTAAAAACTCTTAGAAATGAACAGTATTTATATCGGTTTGAAACTGCTCTACCAAGGTCCCTCCTTCAGCAAACTATGGTTGAAAGGGTCTCAGAGCTTAGTTTCCTTCTTGTTCCTTCTAACCCCTAAGGACAGTTAGCAGAACCTCTGCCTGTAAGGTCTTCCTGCTAACTCAACAGAAACAGAGCCAGCCAGTCTTACCAGCTCCCTTCCGCATCTACCTGAAGGTCAATGTAGCCATCGTCTGTGCTGGAGAGCCTTGAGTATTTCACTTTACTACTGGGGATTCCAGTAGCCAGGTTGGTACGAGACGGCATCATAACACACTGACAGAGCTATAGCCTAAAGACAAAGAAAACTGTTATTGTTGCAAGTGACAACAGTATGCTACATATATTGGAATTTTGAGCCTGAGATGTCATACTAAGCAACTGGCAATTTATGTTCCATTGCACTTGAAATCTGGTATTTCTTTGACAGACTGAAAACATTCTCATGTATCTACCTTGGTTTGTCCTCGTAGAATGAGAATCAAAACATTTGCCAAGAAACAGGCCTCATATTTGTCTTGTCACCAATGTTCCCTTGCCTCCTAATTTTTCCAAAGCCTCACAGAGTAGGTGGAAGAGCGGTGACTTAAATTCTGCTTTAGTACTGCCTGGCCCCAGTCCCTGGTTCAGGAAAAGGCATGAGGAGCATATGCTCAAATGATTCTTTTATTTGCCAGGGAGGAAGTTGGGTGGGATACGGAATACACTCACATCAGCATTTTGTTGATTCCCTCTAATGGCATCATTCTTTTAATGCAAAATATCTGTAGAGCTTCCTGTAAATTTGTCTGTCAGCACTATCAGTACTGGTTATCAGTCAGCACGGTACCAGTGCCAATCTGCCTGCCTCTCTGCCCCACCCCAAGCACTGAAAGTAGTGATTTCATTTTCCAGATTACTTCTATGGTTTCCTTAAAAGAAAAAAAGAAAGGAATAAAACCTGTTTTTTGTTCAAAATAGTCAAAGCCAACTTCAGTAATTAAATCACAGTTATTCTGTCACCAGTTTAAGAGATAGTAGGGAAGATTAAAAAGCAGTGACATTTAAATCAGAAAACATTTGTAATTTGTGCACTTTTCCTCCATTAAATCACAAAATCATGATTAAAAAGTAAATCTATTTTGATTGTGAAGCTATTTCTAAAGGTGAAGTGTAGGGGTAGCCCCGGTGGCACAGCGGTTTAGCGCCGCCTGCAGCCCGGGGCGTGATCCTGGAGACCTGGGATGGATGGAGTCCCACATCAGGCTCCCTGCATGGGGCCTGCTTATCCCTCTGCCTGTGTCTCTGCCTCTCTCTCTCTGTGTCTCAATAAATAAATAAAATATTTAAAAAAAAATAAAGGTGAAGTGTATCTGTAAACAGAGAAAATTACGTATTTTACAATAAGTGCAACATTAAAAAAACAAACTAACCAGAAACTATAAAGACTTTTGCCTTCCTCTGGTATGACACTTTGGAAACAACCATCATCATTATAATAATGTCAGTTAATAATTACCCAGTGTTGGTACCTACCAGGTATTATTATTCTAAGTGCTTTCTAGATATTTTATCTATAATATTAATGAGCTGTTTCCAGTGGCCCGTAGTCAACCTCAAATAACTAGCATTATGATGGAATTGGTGCTAAATGCAAATGTCCCTTTTTAGCAATTATATACCAGTGCAGAAATCAAGTACTCAATCAAGTATGCTAATTTATATGCTTTTCTAAAGTTAGCTCAAACTGCATCTAATACTAGATTTTTAAGTGTTGCGATCTCGGTTTCATGATAATCTAAATTTAACTCTATAAAGTCCAAATTACCGGTATGTGGGAGTTTGAGGGCATTTAATCACTTCAGATTTGTATTCTTTTCAAAAAAAGTTTCCGTACTTTGCCATTACCTATTCCTACACCTGCATCAAAACATAAAAAAGCGCTGGGTATAATAAGGAACAAGGGAGACGAAAGCTTACTGGTGTCAAAGAGTAAGAATTCTGCAAGAGAAAGGGAAAACGTAAATCGAGGTTTTCAAAGTAGCAGCCCAAGTTCCCAAAAGTCTTTTTTTTTTTTTTTTTTTTTTTACCGGTTGCACCACAACCTGCAAACTCCCTGCCCACGCCAATGTTGCAAGACCTTGAAAGCATCAGTTGAGCAGCGCAGAGCCTGGCATTAGGCGCCTCCACACACACAACTACCTTCCTGCCCGTCTCCCGACCTAGCCGGGAAGACAAAGAAAAACCGACACGAATTTAGGCGGAAAACAAACAAAACCGGCTTCTGGGAAGAGGCCAGCAACGGCCGGTCTGGCGAACGCTCCACAACCAGGACACGGAGCTAGATTTCGACGGGCGGCGCAGTCTCGGCCCCGCCGGCGCCTGAGGGGGGCGCTTCCGCTCCCGCCCCGCCGCACGCACGCACGCCTTACCGGAGCGCCGCGCCAGGCCGCCCGCGCGCCGACGGCTCCCTCACGGTTGGCAGCGGAGGCGCCTGAGGCCTCATGGCACGCCTCGCCTAACTGTCACCCCGCCCCACCCGCCGAGCTCGACGCCGGAAGTGATGCGCCGGAAGGCAGCGCGCCGGAAGCGGCGTCACCGGGAGCGACGCCCCCTCCTTCCGCTCTCTGGAAGGTCCGGCTTTGGCCCCGCGCTAGGGGGAGCATGCTATGGGAGGCCCTGGGAGCTGGGGCGGGGGACGGGGGCGCCGGTGGCCTCGCCCTGTGGGGTCGCGGGAGTCGCTGCGGCTGGGGCTGCGGCCCGGGCTTGCTGCCGGCCACGTCTGCTGGGTGTCTAAGGTGACCGGCTGCCCCGTTTCTTTCTCTGATCCCTCGCGCAGTGTTGGGAGCTCAAGCGGCACCCCTGGGAGACGGAAACCCCGACAGCGCAGCAACCACTGGAATGCCAAGCCGCCTTTTCACGGCCCGGGCTGTAGGCCTTCCTCGCCGTGCCGGGTGTTCTCTTCTGCTCTGCTGGTCAGTACCCCACCACTGGTTTCCCTCTCCTCTCGATCAGGATGTCGATCCTTACCCAGATAAGAGGCCCGCCCACAAGGGACATTTTGCAGCACATGAAGCTTTGTAAATGTCAGATTTATTAAAGTATAATTTACATACAATAAAGTACAATTGGATGAGTTTGAGAAGTGCATACAGTCTTGGAACCATCACCAGTCATATAAGTTACATCACTCCCAAAACCCGTCAGGCCCCTCGGCAGCCAATGTCCTTCCCCACCCCCAGGCACACAGAAGGTCCAGTAACTAGAACTCAGTCCAGGTATTACAACAAAGAAACCTGTCATTTAAACCACCAGCACAAAATACACTGGGATAAAGGACTTTAATGAAGCAATTCTCAACGTGTACTATGCCAGTTTGTGACACAATTAGTAACACTTCGTCTGTTTCACAACTACTAGTCCCAAAAAAGGCTATTTATACTAGAAAAATTATTTTTGCACAAACATATTGCTTGGGCCCTATCAAATCTACTAAATCTTTCAAGATTCTTTTAAAAGGCTCCCTAGGCTAAAGAAACACTGGCCTATAGCAATGCTAGTCTTCTAAAGCCCACAGCTTTGGATACAAAAAGCTTCTGAAAAAAGTGTTAGTTTTTGCTAAAAAAATATATAGGGTTTGGTCTACTCTCCTGTTCCATTTCTTGAATTCAAGTTAGAATACCAAAATAAGTTTGACAGGTGAATCCCCAAAAATATCTGGTCACCTACTGTATTTGGAATACTTCATTTACATGAAAGGGTAGCTTGAACTGAATTCCCTAGGATACTTGCAACAGTCCAAATGAAGGCACGGTCTTCTGATATTTGAAATTCAAATAACCTTTATTTAAATTGAAAAAAATTATTTAAACTGCATTTAGAGTCAAAACCCTTTTGTTATGAAAATCACGAGAACTTTTTAGGTAAGGCAGAAATATTTCTAGGTTAACAAGTCCAGATTTGACTTTATTCTTTAAACAAATTGTAAAGGATGAAGAAAAAATAGGTTATTTACAGAAAATATCTACATATGTACTCAGAGGCACAAATTTGATGACAGAAGAAACGTAAGTACATGTAGGCATCTCAGAAGCAGTTCTTAAAGAGCTTAATTTTATTTTCTTGGATTTTAAGAAAAATATCTAAGATCCTTCTTCATCCTCAATCTTGGGAGCCAAGTAGTACTTTAAATGTCCCATATCAGCAATTTTATACTCTACAACTGAAAGAAGACAGGAACATAATTAATTATTGAGAAGTACCACATATGCAATCTATAAAACAAGATTTAACAAACTGATTATCTTACCAAGGGGTACATCTGCAGACATACTGAGTGTTACTGTAGGAGAGAGCGGAGTGGCTTTTGTAAAGAAGTTCAAGTATCTCAGTGCAAAAGTTAGCTGAACTGGCTCATTCATCTCTATGGTAACCTGAAAGAGAAAACAAAAGATTAATCATATTGAAAAACATCAAGAAAGTTACAACTCATAGTTTGGAATATACATTTATTTTTAAAGATTAGAGAGCAAGAGAGAGAGAGCGCATGCATGCAAGAGTGAGCAAGTGGAAGGTGTTAATATTCAAACACACTCCCAGCTAAGTAAAGAGCCCAAGCAGGGAGATCATGATCTGAGCCAAAAGCAGGAGTTGGGAGCTTAACCAACTGAGCCACCCAGGCACCCCTAGAATATACATTTAAAAACCAACCAAACAAACAAAAAAATTTATTAGTTTCATATCATTCTTCAAAGTAGCCAATTTTGAGGAATGGTAAATAAAGCAAAAGACTCAGGTATTTAGTCTTTCCTATTTGAACTATATATAGCTCAGGTGAACAAATTACATGATAAGAGAAAGCTCTTTATGGGAATGCTTTTAATAATTAAATCAGCTAACAAATGAAGGAATGAAATATATTATTATAACCCTAATGACCTAATGATTCTAAATGATTATTATGGCTAAGAAAATACATGTACACACCTCACACCTACTAGAGGTACACACACCACCATCTGTAGAGTATTCTTGCTCTCATTCCCAAAACAAAGAAAACACTGAATATCATCAAGCCTCCGGAGCTGTGGCTACCAGTTTATACGATCCTGCATCGGGTTCCCTGCATGGAGCCTGCTCCTCCCTCTGCCTAGGTCTCTACCGCTCTCTCTGTGTCTCTCATGAATCAGTAAAATATTTTTTCTTTTTAAAGATTTATTTATTTATTTATTCATTCATTCATTCATTCATTCATTCAGAGACAGAGAGAGACACAGGCAGAGGGAGAAGCAGGCTCCATGCAGGAAGCCTGATGTGGGACTCGATCCTGGGTCTCCAGGATCACACCCCGGGCTGCAGGCGGCGCTAAACCGCTGCGCCACCGGGGCTGCCCAAATCTTAAAAAATAAAAATAAAATAAATTAAAAAAGAAAAGAGGGCAGCTTGGGTGGCTCAGTGGTTTAGCTTCAGCCCAGGGCATGATCCTGGAGATGCGGGTTTGAGTCCCATATCAGGGTCCCTGCATGGAGCCTGCTTCTCCCTCTGCCTGTGTCTCTGCCTCTGTGTGTCTCTTGTGAATAAATAAAATCTTAAAAATAAAAAATAAAAAAAATAAAGAAATCTGAGGGCCTATCAACAAACTACAATGTATGGTGCCTATTAAAATCTTGATTCAAATTTCTGAAATAAGCAAGAAAATAGGAAACACTGCTAAATTTATTTTATATTTTTGCTAAATTTCTTAATATCAAATAATGAATGTCATTAAATGCTTATCCTTCAGATATAAGACTATTTATAAAAGAATTAATTTGATTAAAACAAAAAATCTGGGCTGGCAGGTGAATTACAATGTGATTTAGGAGACAGATAATGCAGAATTAGCCTCTGGACTTTTGCTACTAATATTTTTAAGTCTTAATTTAACCTGAGGGTTGACTACTTACGCAAGGGACAAGAATATCTAATATAGTTACCGTAAACTTAAAATGCCAGACACTACGTTAGGCGCTTTGAATATGTTACCATATTTAATCCTAATAATCCTGTGAGGTTAAAACCATCAATTCACTTTCATTTACAAAAGTAGCTGATTTTTAAACAATTTTTATTTATTCATGACAGACACGAGAGGCAGGCTCCATACAGGGAGCCCTATGTGGGACTCAATCTGGGACTTTGGGATCACACCCTGAGCCAAAGGCAGACACTCAACTACTGAGCCATCCATGTGTCTCAGAATTAGCTGATGTTGGTTCAAAGGCTACAAACCTTTTAAAAAATGCAATTACAAAATATTAGCTTATAAATGAGGATCTAAAAAAAGCACTTGAGGAACACGTGGGTGGCTCAGCAGTTGAACATCTACCTTTGGCTCTGGGTATGATCCTGGGGTCCTGGGATTGAGTCCCACATTGGGCTCCTTGCAGGGAGCCTACTTCTCCCTCTGCCTATGTCTCTGCGTCTCCCTGTGTCTCTCATGAATAAATAAAATCTTAAAAAATAAATTAAATTAATAAAGCACTTGATTATATTGGAAAACCTTAATTGCCCCCTACTGGGCATACAGTGTAGAAAGCTAATATAAAGATTTACCTAAGAGCTCCTAAACGGTAGGTTTTTACCTCCAACTAGATACCTCTGTTGAGTTGCAATTACCTTGCTATAGACTGAATGTTTGTTTGTTTCCACAAAAACTCATGTTAAAACCAAATCTTCATGTGATGGTACTTGGGAGGTAGGGCTTGGGGGGTTGCTTAATGCTATACCCTTCTAAAAGAGACCCCAGAGAGCTTCTTTGACCCTACCAGGTGAGAAAGAAGCCCACTGTCTGTGAACCAAAAAGCAGGTCTTCATAGACACTGACTCTGCCAGTTTCCCAGCCTCCACAACTGTGAGAAATAAACTTCACTTGTTTCTAAGTCAGTGTCTATGGTATTTTGCTGTAGCAGCCCGAAAAAACTAAGGAACAACCTAATGTTAAACAGGGTCAGAATTCTCTTCAAAGTATTTTGTTTACTTAAGACACTACTTACAGCTTCCTCCTCCTTATCGACATTACTTGTTTGTGACAACTTGATATTTCCATTTCCTAGTTCTCCACTTGCAGAAAATTTCACTCCATCTTTTGCGCAGGAAATTACAACAGCATCTCCGATGTGACTCAGATCTCGACATATACGTGCAAATTCACCAGAAGGCATCTTTACCACACAGCTATATTCTTGTTCCTGTTAAAATGAAAAATTAGAGTTCACTTGCTGGAAACTAAATTTGGCATTCTCATTTTTCTGAAGCCTTGGCATCTAGACAAGAATTCAGAATTTAAGGTTTTCTGATTACTTTAAAGTATCACTCATTGTGTATTTCCAGAACATACTCATCATTTCTTATGTCGATAAACCTCACCTGAATGAATTTCTGCTAACACAGCTTTATTTTTATTTTAAAGATTTTATTTATTTATTCATGAAAGACACAGAGAGAGAGAGAGAGAGAGAGAGAGAGAGAGAGAGGCAGAGACACAGGCAGAAGGAGAAGCAAGCTCCATGCAGGGAGCCTCAATCCTGGGATTCCAGGATTAGGCTCCCGGCCGAAGGCAGGCGCCAAACCGCTGAGCCACCCAGGGATCCCCTAACACTGCTTTAAAGTCTACTCTTAATACTCACTGGAATTCCAAGTTGTTCAACATCTAAATCCATTAACTTCATTTCATAGTCTGAAACTTTTTCTTGATCTACCAAAAGAAAGCAGATTGAAGAAAAGCACGTAAGTTTATAACTATGCCATTAATAAGTTTTACAATCATTAGGAACATTTTAAGTTTTTCACAACTAAGAGAAATATTTTACACTGCATTTAAATTTCCTCTAATATAATTTAGTAGAAGAGTATCACCTACTTGGAGCTTCAAATACTAGTGCCAAGGTGTCCGCATTATCTTCAGCCCTTAGTGTAATGATGTCTTCATTGCCAGCACATTTTAGTATTTTGGACATGCTAGAACACGGAAGACACAGGATTTAAAATTGCCACAACGTTCTCAGAATCGTTAAGATTTCTGACCCAATTAAGGAGTTACCATCTTTACCAAGGTCGTCTGAGGAATTGGTGAGTGAGGTAAACTAATCCGGCCATTTTGTGACGCAATTTGGCAGTATTTATTCTTTAACAGGCACACAGCCTACCATGAGCCATTTCACTTCTAGATATAAACAAAAGAGCAGCATTTCACGCATTGCAAATTGCAAATCCCTTTGGTGAGCGAAGCAAATTATTGGGTCCTGACGGTCAAGAAAAATGAGCTAAGATACTTATTAATACACACTGCATGTAGTCGAGGTCAAGTATTTCTCATAAGCCTCATATTTGAACATGCTTTTGGAAGGCGGGGTGGCTCAGTGGTTGAGCGCCTGCCTTTGGCTCACGTCGAGATCCCGGGGTCCTGGGATGGAGTCCCACATAGAGCTCCCTATGTGGAGCCTGAGGGAGCCTGCTTCTCCCTCTGCCTGCGTCTCTCACGAGTAAATAAAATCTTTAAACATGTTCGTGTACTAGACATGTAGTGATCAAAGAGTTGAAAGCCACTGCCCTGGAGAAACTTTAAGTCCAGGAACTTAGGGTGCTCACTGCAACTTCCTAATAATAAAGGGCCAGAATCAACCGATGGTCCCTAGGTGGGGTGACATAACTCGGGCACATTATAAAGCGGTTAAAGGCAGTCAAGCCAAAGGGTTCTCATCCAAGGCCGCCGGCACTTAGTGGCCAAGGTGCTGTGTACGTCTTTTCCCGGCACCACGAAGAAGCCCGTCATTTTCCCGCCACCACCCGCTTTGTGACTTTGGCGCGGAAAACGCCGGTTCGCGCGGCTGCCAGCGCGGGCTTTCGGAACCGCGCGCTCCGCTAGTTCCCGCCCCTGGGCGCCGCAGGCCAATGAGAAGGCGCGGGTCGCCCACGCCAGCCAATGAGGACCTAGCTCGCAGGCGCTCCCGCCAAGAGCCGGAGGTGGGGGTGCAGGAGAGCCCGGCCCTTGGCGACCCCAGGGGCTCACCTGGTGAGGTTCACACCCATGGCCAAGTTGCGGTCGCAGCGGTACGTGTCGAAGCCCTCGGAGCGCAGAGTGAGCTGCACCAGGGAGACGTGGGAGGAGTCCATGCTCTGCAGGTTTACGCCGCTCGAGCTGATGTCCCAGCAGGCCTCGTTGATGAGATCCTTAAGCGCCTCCAGCACCTTCTTCAGGATGGAGCCCTGGACCAGGCGCGCCTCGAACATGGTGGCAGAGTCACAACGACACAGCTGCAGGCGGAGACGAAGAGGAAGTTGTAGCCGGCTTGGCGTCACGGGATACGAGCGAGCGGGCGAACGCAGCGGCGAGGGCCTGGGAGCCGGGACGATCACAACCCGCCCGCTCCGCCTGCAACCGTTTAATAGCGCCGCGTCTGCTGGCGCGCGCTCTCCGCCTCTGCGCCGCGTGTGGCGCGTCACCACGTAGCCCCGCCCACTCCCTGGCGGACGGACTCCTGGGCCAATAGTGTCCTTGGCCTCCGCTCTAGCCCGTCCTCCCTGACCGTCCACTGAAGGGTCGGTCGGCTGCAGGGGCGGGGCAGGAGCGGGGCGCCTCCGCCTGCCGCAGGTCTGCCTTCTTGGCCCGGCTCGCGACGCGGGGCGCTGAACAAGTCTGGGCTTGTGACGGCCAGACCCAGGTTGGGGTTCTTTGAGTTACAGTCTTGTGCTGCCTCCTCAACCTCCCGCTTCAGGACTAGAAAGACTTTAGCCGTGAAAGTGAAAGGCAAATCCAACCCACCGGGAGGACGACGCCTGGCAGCCCGAGGAATACGGCTCTTTTAAAAGTGCATTTTATTTTTGCTATCGTAGAAGTGATGTTTTGATAAATGTGGCTAAACTGACCACTGAAGGATTGCAATCTACAATATTTTCCTAAATACAGATATCAGCAATCTTGTTTTAAAAATCTAAGCTTATTTGCGTGAAAATTCCAATCTGCATATTAAAAACTTGTTACAGGGGGCACGTGGGTGGTTCAGTCAGTTGAGCCTCTGCCTTTGGCTCAGGTCATGACCCCAGGGTCCTGAGATCTAGATCCAAGGTTGGCTCCTGGCTCCGGGAGGTGTCTGCTTCTACCTCTCCTTCTCCCTCTGCCCCTCCCCAATATGTTCTCTCTCTCTTTTTTTTCCCCAATATGTTTTCTCTCTCAAATAAATAAGATTTTAAATAAAGATTTTATTTACTCATGAGAGATAGAGAGAGGCAGAGACGTAGGTAGAGGGAGAAGCAGGTTCCCTGCACAGAGCCTGATGCAGGACTCAATCCCAGGACTCCGGGATCAGGCCCTGAGCCAAAGGCAGATGTTCAACCACTGAGCCACTCAGGTGTCCCCATCTGTAAATTTTTTTTTTTTTTAAGATATTCGTGAGAGACACACAGAGACAGAGAGAGGCAGAGACACAGGCAGAGGGAGAAGCAGGCTCCATGCAGGGAGACCGCTGTGGGACTCGATCCGAGGTCTCCAGGATCACGCCCCGGGCTGAAGGGGGCGCTAAACCGCTGAGCCACCTAGGGGTCCCCTCCCCCCCTTTTTCCCCCCACCCCCTTTTTAAAAAAGTTTTTAAAGTCACTTTGAACAAAAACAAGAAAGCAATTCACCCATTTCTCCCACTCCCACCTCTAGTAACCACCCATCTGTTCTCCATCTGTGAGCTCGGTTTTTGTTTTTGCTTTTGTTTTAGGTTCCACATAGAGATCATATGGTATTTGTCTTTATCTGATTTATTCACTTAGCATAATGCCCTCAAGATCCAACCATATTGTTGCAAATGGCAAGATTCCATCCTTTTTTGTGGGTGAATAATATTCTGGTGTGTATATGTGTGCGTATGACAATTTCTGTATCCATTAATTCATCAATGGATACTCAGGTTGTCCCTATAGCTTGGCTGCTGTAAGCAATGCTGCAGTGAACATGCAGATATATTTATCTTTTCAAGTTAGTGTTTTCATTTTTTTTAAATTTGTTTTGGTTGTCAAATTCTTTTTTTAAAAAAAGATTATTTATTCATGAGAGACACACAGAGGAGACAGAGGCAGAAACACAGGCAGAAGGAGAAGCAGGCTCCATGGAGGGAGCCCGATGTGGGACTCAATCCCGGGTTTCCAGAATCACACCCTGGGCCGAAGGCGGCGCTAAACCGCTGAGCCACCAGGCCGCCCCTGTGTTTTTATTTTCTTCGGATTACTATCCCAAGGTAGAATTGCTGGATTACATCGTAGTTCTATTTTTAATATTTTGAGGAACTTTCATACTCCATCATGAACTTTCATACTTCCATCATGGGCGCAACCATTTACATTCCCACCAAAGTGCACAAGGGTTCCCTTTATTCATCTCCTTGTCAACACTTATTTCTTGTTTATTTGATAATAGATGTGAGGTGATAGCTCATTGTGGTTTTGATTTGCATCTCTCTGATGGTTAATGATGTTGAGCATCTTTTATATGCCTGTTGGCTATATGCATGTCTTTGGAAAAATGTCTATTCAGATTTTTTGCCCAATTTTTAAATTGGATTGTTTGGTTTTTGCTATTGAGTTGTGTAAGATTAGCCCCTTATATCCTTTATACGATTTGCAGTTATTTCTTCCCACTTAGTAGGTTGCCTTTTCATTTTGTTGATGGTTTCCCATTGGTAAATTTTGATAGGGGGACCTTCATGTTTTATGTATGATCAACTATCCTTTGCATACATTTTAATATCAAAACATAATAGTTTTATCCATCTTTATTTTCCTTTCTTATTTCTCTTGGAGTCTCCATTCCTTTGCAAAATGTGGAATCTGTTCATTCCAGGGAGGAACATTTGCTTCACTAATAATAAATGTATATTTGGCTACTCTATTTCTTGGTTTTTTGCTTACATAATTACATTTTGGTTTAATGCTAGATCTAAGTGTAATCAACTTGAAGACATTTTAAATGGTGATTAAACTCCACCCATATGGTACCCACATTGCACATGGTCAGTTGAAATGAGGATATATGGAGGGCAATGACCTGTTGTAGAAGGCCCTCTTAGGTAGTAGGATTTTACCAGAAAAGCTAGCTGTTTGGAGAGTGGAAGAAAGAGTATTCTGGGCTGAAAGAATAATATGTCGAAAAAGGACAGCATGTTTAGAAGATGTTCAGATAGTACTTCATTTTAGAATTCGAAGATATTTTTTATGGGTAATTTCCCTCAGTTTTATTGAGATATAACTGACATATAATAGAACTCAAAGATTGATATGTCTGGAACACATTGGTAAAAGGGGGACTGGTGCAAGGTGAGGTTGCAAAGGGAAGTAGGAGAGCTTGTAGGACTTTGCAAGTGTGAGAGAAAATTATCAGAAGATCTTTGACATGATCTAATTTGTGTTTTAAAAGGATCACTTTAACATCTGGTAAAGGTGCTATTCCAGTCAGTGAGAAAAATAATGTATTAAGTGAATTATCAAAATTGATTAAACGTTTAGGAAATAATAAAGGTATAGAGTCTTCCTAATAACTGTTCACCAAAATAAATTCCAGATAGATTAAAGAATTAAAATTCAAATAAATAAATTCAAAATTCAAATCCATACTGGCTCAGTCAGTAGAGCATGTGACTCTTGACCTTGGGGTTGGTCCCTATGTTGAATGTAGAGTTTATTTATAAATAAAATCTTTAAAATTTTTTTCAAATAAATATAAACCCAATAAGATGTGTGAAAGTCTTTTGGTAAATATCCATGAGATCTTGCTATGGGCTTCTAAACATAAAAGGAAAGCCTCCATAAAACTAAGGAATGACTACATACGTTTTATTTTTATTTATTTATTTGTTTGTTTATTTATTTATTTATTTATTTATTTTTACTACATATGTTTTAAAACTCAGTACGGCTAAGAGCTTTGTGTTGGTTAGTACAGTTTAAGTTTCATGACAGAGAAGCCAACTGAAACTGATCAAGAAAAAAGAGGACTTTATGCATCAAACAAAAGCCAGAAGTAGCTAGCTTGCAGTGTCCAAGGCTCAGTCTTAGTAAGTATATGAACAAAATGGTTAGCCACATTAATATACAAAAGTAAGTTAATGGGAGACAGAATTTTAATCTACCAAATTAATGAAAATTGTGTCAACATTCATTGTTAGGAAGAAATCAAGGAAGGGGACACTTTCATGCATTGAAGATTACAGTATAAATTCTAATTTTTCTGGTGGGAATTTGGTAATGTGTATGAAGCCTTCAAATTTTATTTATTCTTTGACACACAAATTCAACCTCTAGGATATTTTCTTAAATAAGTAATCAGAGATACTTACCAAGATGAAGCACGTTTAAGAATATTTCTTATAGAGGGGGGATCTGTGTGGCTCAGTCAGTTAAGCATCCAACTCTTGATCTCCGTTCAGGTGTTGATCTCAGGGTTGTGAGTTCAAGCTCTGTGTTGGACTCCACGCTGGGCCTAGAGCCTACTCACAAAACAAACAACAAACAAAAGAATGTTTCTTGTAGAATTATTAAAAATTCCTCTGAAATTGGAAATAACCCTGAGGTCTAACAAAATATTGGTAAATTATGGTAAATCTAACATGGAATACTAAACAGCCTTTCAAATACCATTCTTAGGGCAGCCCGGGTGGCTCAGCGGTTTAGCGCCGCCTTCAGCCCAGGGCCTGATCCAGGAGACCAGAGATGGAGCCCCATGTCAGGCTCCCTGCATGGAGCCTGCTTCTCTATCTACCTGTGCCTCTGTCTTTCTCTATCTGTCTCTCATGAATAAAAAAACGAATACCATTCTTAAAGGGCGCTGAATGATAAACAGAAAAGTCAGGTTATGAAATGGTATAAATAGTAGTATTCCAATTTTCTAAAATTGTTATACTAGGTGCAAGTGCATGGAAAATAGAAGGAAAATGCAATAATGTAAATAGTAATTAATTACCTGTGGCTGATACTACCACGAATGATTTTAATGTTTTCCATTATACTTTTCTGCATTTTCCAAATTTTCTTCGTGGGACATGTATTGATCAGAAAATGTTAATGAGGTACACCTGGGTGGCTTCTGCCTTTGGCTCAAGTGGAGATCTCCCCCGCACCCGCCCCGGGATTGAGTCCCACTTCACACTCCTTGTGGGGAGCTTGCTTCTCCCTCTGCCTATGTCTCTGCCTCTCTCTGTCTCTTGTGAATAAATAAATAAAAGAAATTAATAAATAAAATAAATTAATTAAATAAATAAATTAAATAAATAAATGTCTCTCACAAGAGACAGAGAGAGGCAGAGACATAGGCAGAGGGAGGAGAAGCAGGATCCATGCAGGGAGCCCGATGCAGGGATCACACCCTGAGCCGAAGGCAGATGCTCAACTGCTGAGCCACCCAGGCGTCCCAAAATAAAATCTTTTAAAAAAAGAAAATGTTAATGACTGTTTGGAGAGAAAATGTCGTAAACTATTTTATATAATTTCTGGCAACTTTCCTTATAAGGTGATATCTGTTAGAGTGATTCTTAAGTCTAGCTGCCCATTAGAAACACCTGGGGAGGAGCCGGTGGGTAGCTCAGTCAGTTAAGCATCTGCCTTTGGCTCAGGTCATGATATCAGAGTCCTAGAATCCAGTCCTGTGTCGAGCTCCCTGCTCAGTGGGAAGTGTGCTTCTTTCTCTTCCTATGCTCTCCCCTATCAGTGCTCTGTCTCTTCAATAAATAAAATTTTAAAAAGAAAAAAAAAGAGAAACACCCAAGAAGATTAACAGCAAAAAAGCCTATTTTCTCTAGGCTCCATCTCTAGAAATTCTTATTTAGTTGGTCCATTGCTATCTTTTAGAAACTCCCCAGATAATTCTGATAAATAATCAAGACTGAGTAGTACTGTTTCATGTGGGATCATGTGGGATCAATAGATGAATATTTGGAGCCTATTTTCTCTAGGCTCCATCTCTAGAAATTCTTATTTAGTTGGTCCATTACTATCTTTTAGAAACTCCCCAGATAATTCTGATAAATAATCAAGACTGAGTAGTACTGTTTCATGTGGGATCATGTGGGATCAATAGATGAATATTTGCTTAAAGCCACCTGCGCCCCTACATATTGGTTTGAAAAAATGAGACCTAGAGTTTTGCCGACATCTAGACTCTAGTTTAGATGGACTAATGATTGAGTACGTCTGTAAGTTTGTGGGAGGGCAGGATTTGCATTTTTGAAGCTTTAAGAAGTTTGACAATTCTGCAGAGCACACTCTCAATTCCATTTTGTATGTTGCCTCATTAAATTGTGGAAGGTTTAGTTATCTGAGAACATCTGTCAAACTAAATACTGAAAGGGCAATGTTGAAGGGCAAGATAAAAAGCAGATAGTCTGTTTATGTTTATTGACAATTTTTAAAAAAGATTTTATTTATTTATTGGAGAGAGCATGAGCACAAGAGCAGAGCCAGAGAAGCAGACTCCCCACTGAGCAGGGAGCCTGTTGTGGGGTTAGATCCCAGGACGCTGGGATCATGACCTGAGCTAAAGGAAGATGCTTAACTGAATGAGCCTTCCAGGCACACCTATTTATTGACAATTTTTAAAAGAAGTTGCTGTTTAAGGAATTGTTTATTGACAATTCTTCCCAGCTAAGAGATGAAAAACACTGTTCAGGGAACTGAAGGATTTTCTTGTTGTTTGTACTAATACAGTTTTCAAATGTTTTTATTATAAAATAACTTTTATTATAGAATAATAATTACAACAATAGCTTTCCACTTATACTGAGCTCACAGCCCAAACATTCTGGGGGACTTGAGAATTTCTTGCTAGTTATATCAAGTAATCAAAATAACATCTAAAAATAATGGGAACTAATCAAGGAATGTAATGAAAAGAAGTCATTGTAAACAAGATAAGCCACAAGCCTGAAAGAAATGACGCTACATGAAGGAGCTAATATGAGGACTAGAAGGGAAAAATCAGGGATAGAGGAGCAGGTGTAAGGTAATGTAAAGGATCAAAATTTTTCTTCAGGGTGGAGATAGGGGGAGATCTTTACTTTTAATTTCTTTCTACAGTATATATATATATATCTACAGTATATATATATATATATATATATATATATAGAGAGAGAGAGAGAGAGAGAGAGAGAGAGAGACAGAGAGAGAGAAAGAGAGAGAGAGAGAGAGAGACCCTAATGCTTGCCTAAAGGCCTATTAGTATGACTTTCAATGGTCTGAATACCTGCTCCTTGGTTCTCTACAGCACTTTAGACATGTACTTGGTTTAAGCTCAGTTAGCCTGGAAGGGCTTAGAGCAATGGCTGAGAAATTTGTTCAGGCCAATTGTAGGGGTTTATCTACCCTAGTAATCATACCGTACACTCTGAAACTTTGATTGCTATGCACTGCTCTTCAGCCTCCTTTATATTAGGCTGGGTTTGAAAGGCAACAGTTGAGCTGGAAGGACTGATGCGATGCTTACTCAGTTGTGACCTTTCATAATTACGTACCCTAACCGTGAGGATCTGGATACTAACACCTCTATGTCAGAGGATGACCTTTGTGGCTTTCTCTGTGTTGACATCCTTCTACATCTCTTAGGTAATAAACCTTGCTTCATTTACTCAAGAGGTGTCTGATCTTTAGATGAAGAAGTAATCACTGACATTGGTCATAATGATGGTCACACAGTCCTCAACAGATTAAAAGAGGTTTAAAATGACCACTACTATGTTATTTATTTTTTATAAATAACATTGAAGCCAAAGCAGCTTTCTATAAATTATGGCCTGGAAGGAGCGGTCTGTTTCTTCTCCCACAAAAAGCCCGCCAAGAATTTGTGCAATGCTGTGGGTAGGAAACCAAGCACACCCCATACCTAGTCTACTGTCACTGTGAAGTACTGTTACAGAAACTTGGGGCTATACTTACAGAAATCAAGAAAATAGAATGCCTTTCTCAGAATTCTCACGACCTTATCCAGAAGCCACAGCTAAGGACAAAATTGCTGACATGAAATAGCCACTCCTACGTGTGCGCGTTTCTCTTGGTGGGGTGACGGTATGCTTACAGGAAGGGACCCCGTCTCATACTTGTTTGCACCCCTCATGAAGCAGAGAATAAGAACCGCTGAAGGCAGTGTTTGAACGAGGCAGTATGGACAATGATTATCGTGGGCTTTGGTAACTAACAGATCTGTGTTCTAATTCCTAGCGGGCAATGTCTTCGTAGTTACGAGACCTTGGTCGATCCTTTTCCTTTGGGAGAATCTTTGAATCCATTCAAGTACTAAGGATATGTCCGGTATACAGGGGGATCCCCTGTGAACGAGGCAGCGTTCCACTCCTGTCCAAGAAAAGCTCTTTAGCGGTCCAGGAGGCAGAAATTCGAAAAACCGCGGAAGATCTTGTCTGTAAAATAAACACCGTATCTACTTCTCTCTTTATATGAGATGAAGCGATTACTTAGCTCAGAGGCTAGCCTATTTAGTTACACTCCGGAATTGCTAGAGACAGCTGGGCAAAGCCAAGCCGACCGAAGTGTGGGCTTCGCTTCCTATCACGTGAGTCTCTCCTCTTACACAGCGGGGCTCCCTCGGCTTTTCCACTTGAGGACCTAACGAGTGTCTCTCTGTACACGTGAGGGACGAGCCGCGGCTACGGAGGACCCCGAGCCGAGAGCAGCAAGCACCCAGCAGGCGAGAGCTCGGAGGACGCCGCCCCGCCACCCGGGGCAGCCGATTTACCTCTAGGACCCGGAGCGCAGGCGCCCCCAGTCCGCTGTCAGCCCGGAGCTCCCATTGGCTCGTCTGCTTCGGAAACGCCCGCCTCCTCGCGCAGCTGGCCCAATGCACGCCTCAGCGCTCCGCTCTGCTCCGCCTCCCGCGGCCCCGCCTCCCCGACGGATTCGCGTCATTGGTGGATCTCTGGAGCCGCGGTGGCGGCGGTGCGCGTGCGCGCTCGCTCCGGGGTCCTGCTCCCTGGGGGGGGAGAGCTGGCCGCGGCCGGAGCAGGCCGACTGTGCTCCGCCCGGGTGAAAGGGCGGCGGCGGCGGCGCTGGGCGGGGCCGAGCTCCACCGCCCGCGGCCCGGCTGCGGTGGGTCCTGCGAGCCGCTCGGGCGGGGCGGGGCGGGGCGGGGCGGCCGAGCGGAGTCCGCGCGCGCCCGCGCTGAGCTGCACGCCCGGCGGCTGCGCTGCTCCCCTGCAGCGACGTCGCGCGGGGGTCTCCAAGCATGACCGAGCTGAGGCAGAGGGCGGCCCGCGAGCCGGACGCGCCGCCGGAGGACAAGGTAGCGGCGGCGGCGGGGTTGGCGCGGCCGGGCAGCGGCGCCCCGCGGATGTTGGCGGGTGGCGCGCGCGGAGCGCACTCTCGCTCTCCGACCCTTTGTCGGCCCGGGGCCTGGGCAGCGCCGAGGGTCTCCGGGTGAGGGCCCCGGCGGGGCGCGCGGGAGCGGGCGGCGGGTCGGGACCCCGGCTGCGGGCTCTGCTTGGGGTGGCGTCCCTCGGGCGCGGGAGGCAGCGCGCGGCCCCCGGGCTCGCGGGGTTGGTTGGGGCCCCCTGCCCGTCCGCCACCTCGCCGAGGCCTTCCTGGGGTGGAGGCAGCGGGACCCCGCAAAGCCTGGACTGGCAGGAGCCTCCTCTGAGCCTGTCTAGAGCTCTCCGCTCCCCCTTGGGAATATTTGGGCGGGGAGGCGGCAGTTCAGAAAAGGCCATTGGAATTTGCCTCTAAGGAGATTTAAATTCTTTCTTGAAAGTTCAATCTTTCGGCTTTAAAATAAGCAGGTTTCTTGACTCACGTCCGCAGGTGTTGGAAGGGTTGCTCCCAGGATGGGTTTCCTGCCTCGAGCTTGGGCATTGATGGAGCAGAGCCGGAGGGTGAGGGTGAAACAGAGGCCATCTTGGCGGGGACGCCGCTGGGGGGGGGGGGGGTGAGGGGAGGAGACACCTTTGGTTGAAGTGAAGGGTTTGTGCAGGGGAGTTGGGGACGTCGAGCGACAGCAGGAGGGTTGGGGCTTGGCGGCAGGATGTCGAGCTTCAGGAGCCGGGTGTTTGGTAAGCTGAGCGGGCAGTGATGGGAAGGATGGACTGAGGGAGCCTGGACGGAATGGAAGACGCTGGTTAACTCGAGGGTTGCCAGCGGGTGACCTGCACATGTATTCTTTGGTTCATGCTCTTTTATTTTTTTCTTGACATTTTTATTTATTTATTCATGAGAGACCGAGAGGGGCAGAGACCTAGGCGGAGGGAGAAGCCTGATGCGGGACTCGATCCCAGGACCCCGGATCAGGCCCCGGGCTAAAATTAGACGCTCAAGCCCTGAGCCACCCAGGCATCCCTCGCATGCTATCTTAAAAACCAGAAGGTTTCTCCTAACAGCCTGAATTTCAGGTCAATGTGCATAATTGGAGGACCTGCCATCATAGTCCCACCTGATTAACGCGGGGCTGGGAGCTGAGGAACGGCTGTTGCCACCAATCCCTGTTGTCCTACACTGGGCCTCACAGCACCCACTTACGGATGCAGCTTGGAGGTTTTGATAACTGGAGGAAAGGGACATTAGGGAAACACCAGGAAGGGAGAAAGCACAAATTTTGGGGACAGGGTGTCAACAGAGTAGTTATACTAGGAGGCATGTTTTGGGTGAAGGATAATAGGGTGTTAAACAAGTTTTTTGGTTGCTGCTATTAATAGTGGATCTTTCAAGGAGAACTCTTCGTATTAATTTTTAGAATACATTTTGGAGAAAATTTAGGGTTTCAGTGCAAGTTTAGGAGTCATTTGTAGAGAAAGGTACTTTGAAATCTCTTATCTTCCCATTAAATATCCCGGTTGGGGCTAAAAGAACTCTGCCCCTACCCTGCATATACATGTTGGTGCGTGTTTAGAGATTTTAAAGATATTTTATTTATTCATGAGAGACATAGGCAGAGGGAGAAGCAGGCTCCCCGCTGTGAGCCTGATGGGGGGGCCCCCTGTGAACCTGCTAAGGGGGGGATATGGGACCCTTGGATCACAACCTAAGCCAAAGGCAGACGGTAAACCACTGAGCCACCCACCCAGGTGCCCCTTAGATATTTAGAGATTGCGTAGCCTTGTTTGAGACTTAATGGAACTTTGGAGACAAAAGAAGGCATGGTAGCTAGTGGGATATATTTTTTTTTGAAAAGCTGTTTGTCATAGACATACTTAGTGGTGAAAACAAAACCACCTCCCCGCTCCCATGGGATTATGAGGTGAAAGTTTTTACCCTTCCCACTCAACTCCTTGGATCCATCTCCCAGAGAAAAAGTGCCATTTGAATCTTAATTACTTTCTCATTCCGTGTTTTAGGTAGGGAGACCATGAGGAGCTGTCCAGCTGAAGGTACCTTAAATGTTTGCAACTGCATTTAAACCACTTATACAATGACAGAATGGCTGGCGTTGTGAGCTCTACTAAGTGCTTGTTCCCTAAAACACAGCGGCTACTGCATTCGGTTAAAAGCCTGATTGATGTAGTCCATTAGCCCACAACAAGGCTGTCAGCTCCTCACCCTGTCACTCAGTATTTCTGAACTGCCATGTATGGCATTTTTAATAATAAAGATACATTTTAAGAACTGTGAAATGCTTTATGTGCTTTTGACGAATGTATAGAGTCTTTAAAAATGTTTACTCTATTTCATAGTTTAAAAAACCTATCTCCATGATTCTGGTTTTGCTGATGTTCTTGTGTTAAAACTTAAGGAAATGGGATAAAACAAGGATATCTCTTTAAAGAAATGAATCGTGAGGGATGCCTGGGTGGCTCAGCGGTTGAGCATCCGCCTTCGGCTTAGGTCGTGATCCTGGAGTCTCCAAATTGAGTCCCACATTGGGCTTCCTGCATGGAGCCTGCTTCTCCCTCTGGCTAGGTCTCTGCCCCTCTCCGTGTTTCTCATGAATAAATAAATAAAATAAAAAAAATGAATCGTGAAATGAGAACTTTCTTCTTTCATAGAAAAATTCAGAAAATATTATCAGGTCAGTTCATTAAAAGAACTGAAACAAATTTGAAGGATTCTTTAAAATGTTCCATTTGCTTAATGGTTGTGGCAAAATTGTTTTGTAAATAAGCAGACAATCATTAGTTTCAAAATACTCTGGAGAATGTGTTTATTGTAAGTCAGAAGGTATTTTGTTATATTTAGCATCCTAGAATGGAATTTTCAAAGCCAATTGCTAATAAAGGAAATGTTTTCCTCTGGGAACCGTGCTTATAATTTTAACGTCCCAAAGCACAGTATTGTTGCCAAATTTAAGAAGCTTGGAATTTAAGCTTTGAGAATGATTCTCCCTTCTGCCCAACCATGTTATTCTAATGGAGGTTAGGAAAGAAAAGGATGAAACATGGGCCAAAAGATCGGCATCTTAAAATTTATGTCTGGGTTGGCATTTCAGGAGACTTTGTTTTGGAGGTTACAGTGAAGGCTCTGCTGTATTTAGGTGCTGGAGTGCTACTTAAATTAGAGCTCTGCTCATCTCAAGGCTTCCTTTGTAGATAGATAGACCAGCCTGGGGAGGAAATAATGACATTGTTTAGGAAGGGGAGTTTAAATTTTAACTGGAAAAAAATTTTTTTTTTAACTGGAGATGGTCGTTAGGTGCAGGGACTGTGCCACTTACTAGCTGTGTAACTTTGAGCAAGGCACTTGTATAAAAGCCTCCGTTTGTCTATCCCTAAAATGGAGGTGATAGGATAGCATGTGTTTCAGAGGATATTCCTGTGGTTTAAATGAATATGAATGTTACATAGGGCAGAAGCCATCACATTGTGATGGTGTATTAGCTAAGACTTTCTGGCTGAAATAGTTTTTTTTTTTTTTTTTAAAGATTTATTTATTTATGATAGACATAGAGAGAGGCAGAGACACAGGAGGAGGGAGAAGCAGGCTCCATGCCAGGAGCCCGACGTGGGACTCGATCCCGGGACTCCAGGATCGTGCCCTGGGCCAAAGGCAGGCGCTAAACCGCTGAGCCATCCGGAATCCCAAGCCACCCAGGGTTCCCTGAAATAGAATTTTGTAGAAAAAAATGACATTCCCCTTCTCTCTCTCTCTCTCTCTTTTTTTTTAAGATTTATTTATTCATGAGAGACAGAGGCAGAGACATAGGCAGAGGGAGAAGCAGGCTCCCTGCTATAAGCCTGATGCGGGACTCGACCCCAGGACCCCAGGAGCATGCCCTGAGCCGAAGACAGACACCCAACCACTGAGCCACCCAAGTGCCCCTCACCTTCCACTCTTGTAAGAGGATTAAATCACCAAGTTATGAGTGTTTGGAATAGTCTTTCCCTATTCATCACTTTTTAAGGAAAGTGTTATAGACAGGGCTTGCACTCTGTGATGTATGTTTTCAGGCCAAATTTTTTAGTGTTCCAAATCACAGATAGAAGTAGCATTGCTGTACACAATTATCTTCCCTTTATTGCACTGGTGATAATCTATTTTAGGATAGTGGTGAATAATTAAAAATGTTTTTCTGATTTTTAAGAGTAAATTACTGAAATAATGAAATCTTAGTTTAAGGTTATAAACTACAGATATGGAGAAATACTCTATTTCAACTCTTTTGTTTTTATATTGAGAAATACTTCAGGTATCGAAAAATGGTAAACCTTGGCTATGGTTCTTAAACAGGGAGAGAAATTACAAGATTTGCTACATAATCCACCATTTTAAGTTTCTTATTTATGTTGATCACAGTGTATAATTTTATTTTAGTTTTTTAAAGTATAATTTTATAAACTCAATTAGCTCTCATTTTGTGACTACTTAAAATTAGGCCTTTTTATTCATTAGTTTTTTTAAAAAGCTAATTTTGGGGGTGCCTGGCTGGCTCACTTGGTAGAGCATGTAACTCTTCATTTTGGGATTATAAATTTGAGCCCCATGTTGGGTGTAGAGATTACTTAAAAATAAAATATTTTTTTTAAAAACTGATTTGGTTTGAGATGTTTTGTGTTTGTACACATTTGTGATATTTCATTGGAAGAATTTGTATCTTTTAAAAACGTTAAATTGTTCTCATTGGTTATTAGAACTAGAAGGGTCTTAGAGGTCATTATTTGATAGAGGAGGATGCCATATCCCAGAGAGTTTCTTTGGTCAAGGTCACACAGCTCCTTGGAGGCAGATATGTGTCATAGGGTATGAAGGTTTCCTAACTTTTTTCTTTCTCATTATGTTGCATAATGCTGCCTGCAAAGGTACAGAATTAATTTACAGACTTTAAAAGCATGCCCACATATCACCTATTTTTCTTATGTGGCT